AAAATCTCACTTTTCTTCTTAAAATCTAATTATAACTGTCTAATGTATTAACTATTGTATAACAAATCGACACACAAAAGAAATTAAATCCAATTATACTATGGCACTGTATGGTTTTCGCTGGTACCTCAGCTTGATTTTACAACTTGGTATCATACTTCTTTTTTTGAGTTTGACCTCTCCACTTTCTAGGTAACAAAGGGTTTATACATTCATGGAGGGAATAGCATGACACACAAATGCTTAAAAGATTACATTATAGAGAAATGTAGTGTTGCTACTGGAGAACAGCCACTGCTTTAGGGCATGAAGTTCTGAAATCCAGGCAAGGCTTAGAAAAATTCTGTTCAATATGTGAGGCTGATAAGATAAAGGAAGATAAAGGCCTAGTATTCTGAATCAAACATTCAGTGCTCCCGCATTTCATGGCAGTCTGATGAAATCAAGTGCTAAATCCTCTGAAAAATCAATCCTTTTTTCGGCTTGTTTGAGAACAGCATCCCAAGTCTCAAAATATTTGCCCACTTTTTTCGTGAAATGAAGTGAAATATTCATACGCTTCATCCAGAGTGTACAGCAGCACATCCTGGCAGCAACACCCCACAGCTGCTGTTCTCAGTGTTCGCTGTAGTTTCGTGGATGCCCACTGGCCTGAAACTCACTGAGAAAATCATCAGCATTTTCTATGTTGATATTAAGACTGTCTTTATGAGTTAATATATCAGTGATGACGTTATTAACTTCTTTGCCATGACAAGAATCCAATACTTCTGCCAAAACTCTTCTATTCACACATGCAACACGTGAGCAGCAGCAGACAGGCTCTACCCTTATTTTAACAAAACTACAGACAAGGAGTTAAGCACAAAAGATCACTTTATTTTTCAAATCACACCCCTCTCATTCTTGAAAAGGTGTATTTCTAATTGTCACTATTTTAAATATACTCTATATTTTCCTGTGAAGTTAAATACTTTGAAGAAGAATCTCCAAAGAAATAAATACAAAGCACAACAGTTTCACTTTATGATTTGCTTTGAGCATTGTCTGGTCCTGCATCCACTCTTGTCAAGTTTTGCTGTTCTTTGAAACTCTTGAAAAAGAAATCCACAGTCAGCATTCCTTGCTCTCCAGAGCCCTCTGCTTATCAGCTGTTAATACAAACTGTTAATACAATACCAGAGCATGCACAGAATAGCTTACAGCAGTTTAGTAATTCTAAAACTTCCATTACAAATACATACGTTGCTACTAAGGAAACAACTGGGATGCTTCTTTTATGGATGCTCATAGAAAATTCCATGTTACAAAATGCTTGTTTGATGATGTCCATGTCTGCTGGTGAAAAGGAAATCAGCACTAACAAGGTTTGCTGGCTCAGACAATGGATAACTAAAGCAAGACAATTCCCAAAGTTATCAACTGGATCAACTGCAGCACAATCTGCAACCATCATTTTACCCGAAACCTAATTAGCCCAAAGGGTTGGTAATGCACATCCACTGCAGTATAAAATGATACCAAGGCCATCAGAACACGCCTTGTGGGGTTTATTCTCATATGATGAGCACAGTCCAATGCAACAGCACAGCTCCTGCTCACAGCTAGGGAGGGAGGGCTGACAATGCTATTTTATGGTGGTTGTCATGGCAACGGAGAGGTGAAAGCAGTCCAGTGCAGGCAGCATCATGTCCCTTCAAAGAGAAAGTTAAAGCACTTCCCATAGCAGAAGTTGCGCTTCTGAAAAAGCTTTTCTTGAAAGAGGTATCGGAGAGAGCCTGAATGGGTGTGGCTGTGAACTCATCCCAGTTACAGGTCTCACCTGGGACAGTATTCCTGAAAATGCAGTCATGGTCTGGCAGGCTGATTTTGCTACATACACATGCACTTAAAGAACATTCAAAGACTATGATAAATTCTAAAAACTGCAGCTGCAACTCGTACCTGTTCACAACAAGGTCTGAGGTAGTTTAGAACCACTCTATGAGAAAGAAGGAAAGGGATTTAATGCACAAATATTTCAAGATTCAATTGCTACAGAGAAGGGGAGTGTAACAAAGTGTAAAACAGATTTAGACTACTGTCTGTCAGGAAAGAGGAGCTGAACACAGAAATAAGTGAAAAAGTTCACTAAAAGCTGAACTTCTATTTAGCCTGGCTTTGATCATTAACATTCACTACAAAAAAAAAAAGAAAAACACAAGCAAAAACCCACCAATAATAATGAAATTGAGCAAAGCAGAAAGGAAAGGAAATTTTACAAGAGACTGGACAAGGTTAACAGACATAGGGTCCAAATCGGGAAGTAGAACTGAACTTCACAAAATGAATCCATGTGCTCAGTGTGACGTTTTGATCTCTGACAGCTGAAACACCTTCACACAGGGACATTGAAAAGTTACAAATTCTTTCGAGATTCACTTTTGATGATGCAGTTTATTTAGAAAAGAACACTTATGTACAATCAATGCATTAAACAATGCATAACCAACAAATTGAGAATATATCTGGTGCATCAGGGTGAGAAAGAAATACTTACATTTATATTTAAGCATAATTTAGATTAGCCAGCACAAAACCTGACCTACTTCTTAAGTCAACAGTAAACTCCTTACTGATTTTCCTCCTAAGGGTAACAGATTGTAAACAGATTATGGAAGTACAAGGTCCAAAAGGGTTAGTATTTTGCATATCCATAGACAGCCAAATTTAAATGTTGTTCACAAGCACTTGACAGCCTAGTTGCAGTTACCTTCAAAGTCTGATGTGAATGAATGGGGATGAGGATATTTTATTCAGCATATGACAAAGAGGAAAAATAAAGAAAGTTTTAAAATTCCTTATTATATTGCAATATGGAAGAAAGCTGCAGGGAACACCAGTGATACAATGCTAGGTAGGGAGGAAAAGAGAAGGAGTAACTAGCAGAGTGGGGGAAACATGCAGGAAAAAGTAACCACTGAGAAGACTGGAGACAAACAGAACTAGCTCAGACCACAAGAATCATATCTTTGGGTTGCTCTTCCCATAAAAACTACTAAAACCTCACTCCCTACGTTCTCCTTTATTGCTCACATTCAGGTGAGTGAGATTCCTTAACAAAATTTCCCAAATTAAAAAAGAAAGGTCATGCAGAAACACATCTTTGCCAATAGTCACTTCAACTTGGGTAACACATACATTTTCTTTGCTATATACGCACAGATGCAACCATGCAATTCCATACCAGTCTTTCCATCAAACTGCTCCTTGCAACACCAGCTCTTGCTTTAAGTGACATTTTTAAATCTAATCATCTACATCCCATGAATGCTGTATTATTGCATTAAAATATTCACTTATGTATTTACCTCTCAAAATGATTAAGGGACATAATTCCTGAAATAGATCCACTTCTTTACTGTGAGGGTGGTGAGACACTGGAACAGGTTGCTCAGAGAAGCTGTGGATGCCCCATCCCTGAAGGTGTTCAAAGCCAGGTTGAATGGGGCTCTCAGCAACCTGGTCTAGTGAAATGTGTCTCTGCCCACAGCAGGGAAGTTGGAACTCGATGATCTTTAAGGTCCCTTCCAATCTGAACCATTCTATGATTCCCTGCTTCCTCTACTGAAAAGAAGCTGTGATAACCTTTGTTCACTGGCCCATAGCTCAGATACATCTCAACAGTTATACTATCAAACTTACTTGATATTTCAGGAGTCAGCTGTGCTTTTTGGACACACAAAATTTGGTGTAGAAGATCATATAGGTTTGTTTTGTAAATTCCTCAGACTAATTAATATAGACTGAAGTTGTTTATGTATATCTGCCAGTTCTCAGGAGTCACTGGATAATTCAGAAGATCATGAGAAACTAAGTTACCTTGTTTTAACCAAGCATCTGCACAAAGAAAACAGGTGTGCCAAGATGCTCAATACAAAAAGGATGAGTAAAAGTTCATTTTACCAATAGTGCAGCTTTTGTCCTCTATTATAGCCCAGGGCCTAAAAGCAGTAGGAGGCACTGGAGAGGCATGTTTACACCTGTGCAGAGTGATGCCACCACTCATTCAAGCTTTCAGTAATCCGAACTTCAATTCCATTACGGTTATGTAAGGAATCAGTTATCAATTTTTCCAGAACACTGAACTATATTATTTTAGTAGGCTGGAAGGAACAGTAAGATAAATAATTCTCTAATGACTGGTTGGTGATAATGTCTAATGCCAAGGGTGGAAGGAGCTGATTCTTCAGCTCTCCCATTTGTATGTATCACAGTAATGAAACACATACAGTATGATAAAATCGGTACGTAGTTGTACTGGCAGTCAGTCTATTGGTAATGACAGACGCATGTAGTTTCCTCACACTATACTGAAGTTTTGAATTTGGACTTTCTTTCTCTAAGAAAAGTTGCAGAGTGGCTTTAAAACTTATCACAGTAAGCAATCAAACCCAGACCCAGATTCTATCGTGGAATATGAGTGGGACTCTGACACTACCTCAGCTAAGGCTTTGCAGTGAGAGCTTGGGAAGGGCCAAAAAGGCTGCAGGGTCTTTTTGAGCAGTTAACAAAAGTTATATGAAGGCTCACTCTGTAAACACTGCAAGCCATAGCAGACAAGGTAGCCAAGAGGAATATGTGTGTTCTGTGGACTGCTGCCCTGTCGTTGAAATTAGCATTTAACTTGCTCTGTGTTTTATACACCTCAGCCAAAATGCCAGTACTTAACAACTGGACAACAAAGCCCTTTGGACCTGCTCACCCATATCTTGTTTGGACATTTGCACTTCTTAAGCAACCCTCACATAATCACCATCCTGCCACACCACAAGAGCAGCACTTCACACATGCCTGCACAGACATTTGTTTGTTTGTTTGTTTTTAGTTTTGGAGATTTAGAACCTGTTCTAAATTCAAGCCACATAATTAGCTACTAGCTCAATTTAACATGTGTATGTGTGGGTACACAAATATGAATATTTAGGTACTCCTAAAACCTTACCCACAACTTTTATTTCTGTTTCCTGAACAAAGCTTTGTGGAGCTTCTATATATCTAAGTTCATTAGTACAACTGACAACAACAACCACCAGTTCAGAGAGAACTAATGATTCTAACCTAAACAGACCATTAACTGAGAAACTGGGATGAGAACCAGGCCTCAAGCATCCCCTAGGATCTAAAAACTATTATTTCCGAAGCATGGTTTAGTCCTCTGGCAACTAATATCATGACACACAAGCCTGAACGTTTACTCTTAAAGACATTAATTCTTACTGGCTCTGATTATTTGCTCACTACTCTAGCCACAATAACAGAATTACCAATGCATTCACTTGCATTCATCTGTCAAAATATAAGCCAATTAATATCTTAATAGAGAAATGCAATGTATAGCATGTGACATCAAATCTAAGTTCTAATTCCTTCTGAGTGTCTCTGAACGGGCATCACTTTATTACCAGAATTACGAACACACAACAATCAGACAAGAATGGCATTAACTTTGTCTTCTAATTTTTGTACTGAAAATTTAATTAAACTGGAACAATTACAGACATCTTTTGCTTTCTTTCATGGAAAACAACTCTCATCAAGTCAGATACTCAACTGAAAATTCTCTAATATTATCATTAGTAAAGATGAAGATGCATTAAATTGAATTTTTCAGCAATGCTGAGAAGCACTGAGCTCCTACATGAGTTGTCATAATAAACAAGAGAAACTGATTTTCATGGGGAAAAAAAAGAAAGAAAGGGAGCTCTAAAGGAAGGAAACTGCAATGAAAAAGAGTTCCTACTCTAAGAAAATTGGTTATGTCTCCTCTGTATTGTCTTTTACATTGGACTTGGGTTAATCTCTCTATTTGTAATTCCATTTAACAAGCTGTTTGACCTTATTTTAGAGCTGATTGGAAATAGCTTGAAAACAGCTGAACAATTTTGGCTCGCTTAAAAAATTAATTTTGCCAGATAATAATTTCCCCCTACATTTCTGTGAACAAAAAACTCCTTTTATTTGCATTTGGGAAAAATTAAGTAAATAAAAGGATTTTAGAAATGCCTTTGTTGAGCTCCACATGAATTAAATCCACGTCTGAATTCAACCCATGGAATCAAAACTGAGAAGATGAGGCCTGGGGAACTTAAAGATACTAACATACCAAATAAAATTAATGGTTCAATGATGACAATATAGTTAGTTCCAGTATGTAGAAATCTAACAGCAGGTCTATTTCGTAGTTTCTGGTGAGAAAGCAATGAATACCTGGTCAGTTCTGCTCTACTCTTGTTGCAAATAAAATATGAGTGATGGCAGAGTTCGGAATAACTACAGTATTTCATGCCTCTGATGAACCCTGATACTAAGCCAGAACAGCACAATTTACTTTCACTGAAAGGTAAAACAAAGGCAAAAAAGAAACGAAAAAGAAACTTCAGAAGAATATACAGGAAGTGCATTTGAAATTGGGAGTCAATAAATACAGACAGTAATTAGAAAGAATGCAAACATTCACACCAAATCACAAATCAATTCTGCGTGGTGGGTTCCTCTGTCACTAGCAATACCTTGCTGACATGTTTAAGACAAGAGACCTCTTCTAGGCAACACAGGTATTAGGGGTGTTTGTTGGTGGGTAATATTAGAAGATCAAGCAGAGTTCAGCTCTCCGAAAACATTATTTCTTTAAATAAATAGGGAAAAGGGTTGAAAATGTGAAGTTGAGGCAGGGGTTGCCTTAAAACCCAGGGAGCTCACGGGGCTCACCTTGGTGACAGGTTCTAAGAGCAACTCTATATGAAATAGAGACTCTGAGAAGAGCCATTGTGAGTAAGTCTAATACTAATACCTGCAGGAAGAGACAATGAAAAGTTGCTGGGTTTTTATTGATTTATGGGGGTGAGGAAATCAAGGGTCTACAGGACCTTGGAGTTTTTGCTCCGGGAACCTGATAAGTTCATTTATATTCTTGGCAGAGAGTGAATATCACGGGAAAAAAAGAGACAGTTCTGTTCCACAATGAGTCACAGGACAAGACCAAAAAGATGTTCAGTAGGTTATAGTCTACAAGATCATAAAAATCAATTTTGTATCATAAAAATTAATTGTGCACATCAAATATTGCAAATGGAAAAATCCCATTCTTTCTCTGGGAACCTAGACTCAGAACAGCTGGCACAACCTTTTCCTAATTTTTTTTTTTAACATTCTCTACAAGAGTGACTACTAAATACAAACAGCTAGGAAGTTATGCCCTTTGCTCCAGTTTGACAAAACCAGACTTGTTTGATCAAACTGCGAAGAAATACCATCACTGACATGGAAGGATTTATATCTACCAAAGGCAAGACACGCTCCATGCGTCTCAGTAGCTCCAGCATGGATTACAACTGGAAAAGTTTTCTGTTCTAACTTTTCAAAGAGAAAAGAAAAATCAACTTTTTGAACCTATACCTAAACAAGAGAGTGGTTGTCCCCAGTAGCTGGTCTCAATTCTTTCATGCTCCAAAGGCTGCTAAGCCATAAGGTAATCAGTCCCACAGACAGGAGGTGACCGTCACAAGCAGAATCCTGTCCCAGAACTCCAGACTGTCTGAGGCAGATACATTAGAAGCTTTATACAGCACAATGGGCATCCATCTTCACCAACAGGCATTTACAAGTCAGAAGACAGCAGTGGCAAGGGAGAGGACTGTATGTGAATGTCAGAACTAAACTGTAATTTGGCAGTGAAAAATACTATAATATTATTGATAAAGCCTAATCAATTTTATTTGAAAGAAGAAAGGATTTTTTTTTATTTGAAATATTCTCTGATTCACTGCTACCACCGATTATATTTCTTCTTGGGTTTAGCACAACTAGTATGCAACAGGGAAATTATTTCAAATTAAGTAGTGTGATAAATTAACATACAATTTGCTATGTTGATATAACTCATTTTACCACTATGATTATGCAAAGGAAAACCATATTTATCCTGCACTAGCTTTGTTTTCTTCTGACAAGGCTATTTATCACCCTAGGAAATTCCAAGTTCGTAAAACTGGTTAGCTGACATTGCCAATATAATATACTTTGTGAGGAGTAACAGCCTTCCTAATCAATTTTGCCAATTACACCAGCATTTGTCTTAAAACAAAATCTCTTTATCCCATACTGAAAGACCAACAAGGAGTTCTTCCTAAAAGTCATGCAGGCCTAGAGAGCAAGAGACTGCATCATCATCAGTGTGAAAACAGAATAAGCAAAGTAGCAGGCAATGCGATCCAGACAGACATGGCTGGATAATGAATGCTGTGACTGTAAAGTAAGAACCAGATCTTTTATGATACAGTGCAAAAGCATCATATTTTGTGAGGATCGAGAGAAATGTTAATGCACACAGAGCCTGTGAATTTTTAGCTCCAGACTGTAAAACAATTCCTCTTGGAAAAATGTAAGTTATCTGCAAATTCTTCTTTCTGTATTCGAACGACTGCTTGTCAGTGACCAGATGCAATTCCACTTTTCTAAATCAAACATTTTTGATGATCTGTTGCAAGTTGTCTTAGAAAAGCAGGCAAAATTTAATCATCTTCAGGAGTGAAAAAATATCATTTTCTTCAAGATGGATGTTTGATTTAGGAATTTCCTTTCTGAGTGTAAGAAACGACAATTTTGTACTTTGAAAAGTCAACTAAGGTCAAGATTAATATAGATACATTAATTAGTTTGTTGATATCATGAATGCTTTTCTTGTCATCCCACTGATGAATGAGGGAATTTGCATCTCAGCAGGTAAACATGTCTGATACTTCCTTAATCTACTGTACAGGATTTACTACAGCCAAAAATAAGAGATAAAGTGGAATACAGGGTCAAAATGATTTAGAAAACAGATTACTAGTTACAAAGGAATATGAATGAAGAATCACTTTTAAAAATAACATATATTCTGGACTGATGTGCTCCATAAATATTTTTTTTTTGCTAATGAAAACCTCCAGGGAACAAATACTTATTTCATATGCCTTCCATTCTGCTCCAGTAATTTTAGATTTCCACTGTAGCTCTGCCCTTTATTTCCTTCTGTTTTCCTTGCCTTGGTTAGATTAGAGAGGTAGGGTGTTAATGGGGTACTTGATGAAGACTGAACACCTATTTTCTCACCCCTTGGAGACCAGCCTGATTTGAACAAATGGAGCAGAGTGAAGCAGCCTCTTCATGTCCTCAGGAAAAGCCTTTTCCATTTCAACATTTCCAGCTTTCAGACATGGTCCCCTTCGTTCAAAAAGAAAGAAAAGGTGCCAGCACAAGAAGGTTCTGATTAATTTCATAGAATGCCAGCAAGGCTGCAAAAAGCTCCCTTTCAACCTTCTTTATTGTTGGTGAGCATGGGAACGCGAGATGGATCCAGGAGGGGAATGCAGGGACCAGTGCTTGCAGCTTGAACAGGGTGAGAAACAAGCTATTGTCCACCAGTGCCCACCTCTGTTGATGATACTTCCTTACTACTCTCGTCCTTGTGGGTACTGTTTTGGGCTGGGCACTCAAAATGCACACAGTGAAACACCTGGAGAGAACAAAGAAATGATGATAAAGCAAAACAATTTAATGCTGGCAAAAGCATGATCAGAGTAAGATGAAGTCTATATGGAAGTATGCAAGCCAGATCAGTGACAAACTAATTAGTCAGAATAGAACGTTTTGCCATGAGGTCAAGAACATTTATCCATGGGCAATAAACTTTAGAAAAGGAACCAGTGGAGCAAGAGAAGGCCTTTAAATTATACCAACCTTTACATATGGCACTAAAGATCAGAAAAACGGTTCAAAAGTGGATACAGATATTTGTAAATTATTCCTTTCCTTGCCAAGTAGCAGAATTATCTACTACATGCTATCAGATAACAACAACAATTAAATTGCCTTAAACATATCTTACAATATAATTACTTCCTCAACAGGCTGAATGTTCACATACACTAGAAATGAAATTTAAATCATTACCAACATGATTTTATTTCAAGATTGCCCTCTGCTGTAACAGCAATGGTAGCTCTACAGACATGTCCTGGAGTATGTAGAAAGGCATTCAGAGTGTCCACGGAGGCTGCTGCTTCATCAGATGAAATATTCCATTTCAAACAGTGATCATTTACTGATGTTTCAAACAATATCTGGGACCAGTGTACAGGTGACTGTATCTTAGAGGACCATCTGTTTAAGCATTTTTTTTCCATTTTATTTTCTACTTTACTTACTCTTACTTCTACTTACTTCTTGTTCTTGAAGTGCCTGGGAGGAGAAGGGGGAGGAACTCTTTAAAATTGTTACAAAACTTCTTTCCATATGATTTCTCATTGCTATGAATTGCACAGCTTTGCTACATACTAAACATAAATCTTTTCTTATAGTGTTTAAAAATTTGCTATTTTCTCATGCCTTATTGTTTTAAAGCTAAACCTTGATGAATATTAAAACCCGAATTTTAAAATTATTGTCTTGTCTTAACTTTGTATGCTTTCATGACATCTTTTATTATTCTTGTTGAGAGCAGATCATGTTTTTAAAGCTTTTCTCACAAAGATAATCTCTTATAATCTTAACTGCCCTTTCCCAGACCCTTTCAAGTTAATGTGGGCAAAATCAAATACCATAAACAAGACACGGACATACTACATATTCAAACAAGACTACACAATATTATATTTTCTATCCTTTCTTCAATACAACCTAAAATCCTATTATTCTTTCTGACCATCCCTGCTCAAGTGCACATTGAGCAGACATCTGCGTTGACATGTCTGCAATAGCCCCAGGTCTTTTTCTGAGGATGTAGCTAGTTAATTCCAATTCTGACAGCATACATGAAACGAATAAAAAAATATTCACAGTCACCGGGGTTTTTTTTTTAATCCCCATTATATTTTCTTGTGCCTCTCAGTGTAAGAATTCTTGCAGTTCTTTTCACAGATACATGGTGATGCATGCTTATATTTCTATATTTACGTACATGCTCACATGCATTGCTATGCCTTTATAATATATACACTTACGAACAGATCACACACCCATAGCCACATATAGACACATGTGCACAAAATGGTTTTTCTCTGCGTTTCTTCTGGTGAGTTTTTTTTTCAAAAGCTGAACTAATTCCCACAGTGGCATGAATTCTCTCCATCTGTTACACTTCTTGAGAAGCCGATTTTTGTATTTAGTTACACTCTCGAGAAGCCCCTTTTCTACTCATCTCGCTTCTGTGTTTTTACAGTAACAGCTATTCTCATTTTTCCAGCTGCACTTACGAGGATAAGGCCTTGAAGAGAAGAACATTCTCTCACCCCTGTAAGATGCTGCTTTCCTTGAAAGGCAGCACAGTCTAATGAACGGGATAAAGGTCTTCAAATCAGAAGATTCCATATTTCTACTGTATCCCACAATGGTGTTTATCATTTAAAACCTCACTTTATACAGTGATACAGATTTTTTAAATATAGTGTGGATAGCACTCAAATTTATCTAATACTAATCTAGAAAGTCAGAAGTACTTGATCCTTATATTCTAACTTTAATTTTTACTGATTCTTTCATACTAAATTCTTAATGCTCAAAACATCTGGCACATTACCAAGCCTGTGTGTGAATTTAGAGAATTCTTCTCAGTTACTCTGCCACCTCAAAATGTAAAGAATACAGTGTGTGAGAGAAGCAGAAGACTGAGAAGCACAACTGAGCTCAACTGCTTCACCTGGTATCGGAATTAAGTGTTTCAGAACAGTATTACTAAAATAAAGAATCCTGCATGTGTTTCTCTCAAAAGAAAAAGATGACAGTTCAGCATCATCCTCTGACCCACATCAGTTCTACTTCTCATGGATATTTTAAGAAAGGTCAGACGTATAAAGAAGGAAGGCCAAGTACATATACACTGGTGCAGTAATTTGTAAGATAAAGCTCTCACATCAGCAACCAGGTGTCCTTTCCAGGTCAGTAATACTGAAGAGGAATAACAAGGTAAACTTACATAAAGTATCAGGTGACCTGTCTGACAAATAAATGAAGACAAGGACTAAGGAAAAGTAATCCTTTTCTCTACAAAAGTAGCATGTCTGGGAGCTCAAGAAAAAAAAACCAAAGTTACAATTCTATCTTGTTCTAATATACCAAAAAAAATTCAAATATCAGGTCCAAAATCACTGAACATGGTAAAGGTAAAAATAAGTTTAAAAGATTAAATAATTCACAAAGTGGAGAAATTTTATGGGATTTTTTTGCAAGTCCAAAAGTCAACTCTTCCCTTGGGGAAGTACAGATTGTGCTTCAAAGTTCAAAGGTATGTGTTGGTACAACAAGCATGGAGTATTTTTTTAACTATTACAATAATACTCCTTGATAAAAATATGTTGCCATTAGTACATTTTATTTAAAATGAGACTGGTTTGACATAATATACAACCAGCTGTGGGCAAGTAATTATGAAAACTGCTGGTACTCTTACTGAAGAGACTACTGAGACTCCAGACTCCAGAACAAACCAAGACTTCAGTGACACTGATACTATTTAAATCAGAAATATGAAAAATATCTTGCTTCCTTGTCTGGAAAATTAAAATTTATGCCAAAATGTTACAGACCATCTATTTAATACATATATAGATATATAAAAGTAATTTAGTAATATGTGCACACCAATTATGTTCCTACTCTACAGGATTTAAGATAAATTAAAAAATAATAATAAAAAAACCCCAAACAAAATTAGTGTTGGGTACAGATTTTAAAAACAAAAGAGGAAAAAACCAAGAACAGCAGCATGTGTTTATAATTCCACTGCACCACTACATGAATAGCTGTAACCTCAATTTACACATACTGTTCTTCATTAGAGTTATGCAGTGCTCTATATAAATAAATTACACAGGATATTAAAATTCTTGAAAACAGTAACCAATTTGAAATTGGAATTACGGTTAAAAGTCCATTCATTACTCTTCAGGACTTAAAGCTACCTTTAAGAATGAAAAGTTGAAAGTGTAGGTTGGTTTGCTAGGATCACTCAGTGCACCTCATTCTTTTTTGACAAAGAGTTGACAACTAAGAAATGCTGGTATGAGAGGAAACAAGACTGTCAATATGCAGCTGACAAATCCTAACTAATCCAAATGTAATAGTGCTATCCCAAGTTCATTGTAAAGCGTGGAAGTACAATACCTGGCGGTGAACTACACATGTGGGATGTAGACATGCATGTGTATACACAGAAGCAGCAGCATTTGGTGCCTCTTACAGTCTTGTCACAAAGTTCTAATCTCACAAAGACTTACATGTATTATTAAATTCACATATTGTAAATTGTTCCACTGAAGTCAAGTGTAAAATCTGGACTTCAACTGGGACAATGCACAACGATTACGAAAGACAGAAGCACAAGTAAATAAAGAGAGGATGATACTGCACTTGGTTGGTTAGGGCACAATACTTTTTTTCTATATAAAATTAACACTATCTCTTGATTTGGCCACTATTAGTCAACTGATTGAATAGGTATGAAAATTAATTATAAGCAAATCTTACACAAATAAGATTTTCTTTAAAAAAAAGGGATTTTCCTTATGTTTTATTAATGAAAAGGATAATATGAAGGTGATAAAACCCAAGTAATCAGAGACCATACACCTTTCTAGTGTACTCAAATGGTATTTTCATAATTTATTGAATAAGGATTAATTTAAAACCAAACCCAGTAGGAATGTTTGACGGCAGTGTGGAAAGGTCAAAACCAGAAACAGACAATAACATCTTTCAAAGACTCAAATAAGAAAAGCATTCATTCTTATTTTGCTAGATTGCCAGAACAAAAAAATTAGACAGGTACATTTGAGAAGGCCTTAGCAATTTCAGTGCAGGATAAGGAAACCTGTATTGTTGTGTATTCATGAAGAATGTAGGTTTTCTTAAAAGTTCCTTACCTCGTTAGCTGTGTTGCGAGTTCCAACTATTCTGATAAAAGACGCAGGCTGTTTATCAAAAGTGATTGTTTGCCAGGATCTACAAAGAAAATCCAGAAAGGCATATAAATATTGAACACAGTCACAAAGAATGCATTCAAGTGACAGTAAGTACTATTATCACTTAAAAGGGCAAAGAGAGAAACTTTCCATTGCCTGAATTTCCAGCACTTCCTTCCTCATGTTTAAGTGTCTTGACTCTGCTTATGTGATTTCATACATACCTTATACCACTATAATTTGTGTGCAGGAACAGTAATCACACTATTGTTGAAAGTTAAGGAAATGGTGAAAGAAAAGAAGCCTGGATCAAAGTCTAAAATCCTTGGCTAATACTGACTGTATTAGATAAACAAAAGGTCAGACAAATAAAAGTGAATGCATTCTCCTGTTAACTACTCAGAGCTTGGTTAAGAAAGAAAATTACAGACTGAAGGAAAAAAAAACCCCAACAAAACAAACCACCCAAAACCTCAAATGAACTTGTCTCACTCTAAGTGGAGCAGCAGAGGCAGAGGAGCCAAGCTTTCTTTGTGTGGGCCAATGTCCTTCTAGAAAACTATAAGCGACACAGAGCGTTCTTTGCAGGTCAGGTTGTGAAGATTTCCCCGTCCTGACACAGAGGCAGTGAGGAGAACAGACCACCACTCCAAAGCTGGCATATAAATTTTTGGGCTAGACTGAGAACACTACAGATACAGTGGGACCAGTATGATCTTCATTCCTCATTCATACTCTTCTGATCTCGGTGAGATGCAGCACCTCAATTAACCAAATACATAGCAGGAAAAGGACACAGCCACCTACCTACCTTTGTGCTTACAGAACACACTGACAGTAAAACAGAAGAAATAAAAAGAATACCAATGAATAGAGGTTTCGGTTTGATACCAGTCTTCCACTATACTAGATTAGTACTTGAACACATTTCAATTTAAATTATTTTACATTCATAAAACATGAAAATGAGATATACAATTTAACTTTTCAGCCAAAACAGACTCTATCACAGATGTTTCAGAAATAAAATGGAGTTAAGTCCAACCTGATTAACTCACTACAGAAGGAAAACACTGGTTTTCCAGAATGGGTTCAGAATACCTTTATAAGTGTTCATATAAGAAAAAGGGACCAAAGCAAAACTGGAATAAAACACTACTCACCACCAAAAGACTACCCCAAAGCCTGGCAGTATGAACAGCTTGGCTGCTGACTGTTTGTCAGACATTTGATTTTTCCCTCAGTAGGAAAAACCCTTTGTCACAAACATTGCGTTGCTCGGATTAATTTAGACTGCTATTACTTCTATCACTGCTGTCCGGTTATATTTGCCTAAAGAAGACTATGAGCTGAATTGAGACTTAATTTCAAGTAGTTTACTGGTCTTACCATATGATGTAATGGATGTAATTAGAGTTACTCATGATAACAGAAAGGTATGGTCTCTGGTAGGCCTCACAAGTACAGCAGTTATCTGTCTAACAACAGGGTTTATTTATATCCCTTGTGTGGTTATACCCTTATTTTAAAGCTCAGGCTGTTCCTTCACACTCTAAATAAAATACAAAAAAAGGAGAATGGACTACTTTGTTGACTGTCCCAAGATCTGAAAGACTGTTATGATTTAAACATTTTCCCCCCTAAACAGGAGAGTAATTATTGAATTTCCTTCTCACATTACTCTAGTACAGTCAGTTAATTCCCATGGCCAAATAGAACTTGTTACCTTTGAAGTACAAAGTCCCAAAGACAAGAGGCTGGGACAATAAGATGATCACAACACTACTTCTCACAACAAAGCAATGCCATAGTTTGCATTATGCATAAGCTTTCACATTTACACACACACATACTTTATGCAAGGAGAACGATGCTGTAAAAATCAGATTTCTCTTTTTAGAGATTATGAAAATATTTTAAAGCTATGTGAAATAAAAGAGTATAAAATCCTAAAAAAGCTATTAAGAACAGCCTATGTCTTCCTGGACACTAAGGTAGAGTTTGTGTTCCATGACAAGAAACTATGTTAATTACGGATCATAGAATAGAATATAAGTGGGTTTTCTATTTATTTCTCCTATTTCTGAGTACCAGTTAAATAAACACTGCAAGAGCTCAGTGCAGATTTTCCAAGGATGGCAGTTAATGCCGTTGTCTGTCCTACGATGTGATAACGAGAAAGCTGATGCATCTACTTGGAAATAGAGCTGAAGAGCATGACAGATGCTAAGAGGGCTTGAGAGAAAGGTCTCCGAAGATCATTTTGACAACACACTTCCAGGTCATCTCACCCAGGAAGTTCTTAAGTTCTCCCACATCCCACTTCGTTAGAAGCCCTTACTTTCTGTTACAATGCTATTCTTAGTATTGGATTATAACTACCTCTTTAATAATATTAAAACATGATGGAAAAGAGCAAAAAGATTTCTTGAGGATGTGAGACCTGAAGGGAGATAGGGTTTTCAATAAATTCAGTCCCAAAAATATTTACTGTTTTGCTATGTGTCCATTTTGTTCCTTTCCCATTGGAAAATCAAAATTATAGACATTCAAAATTGTAGAAGAGTTATTTTAAAATTCAAGAATAGTTCCACTAGAGAATTAGTACTTGATTGTAAAATGAGAAAATTAGGGCTCTAGTTTATTTCCTTAGTAAAAAGAAAAAAAAAAAGCAAAACAGAAAAGCCACATGGATTTGCAAAGAATCACTTTTGAAATAAGCAAGGCAAACCTTCTCCACTAGAAAGTTTCATGGATTTGGCTGCAACAGTACATTTGAGAACATCAATCTATGCAAAGCAACAGCTCTCCAGTACAGATATAATTATGCATCAAAGAGATAATTTATGCATGTAACTATACCCATATGAGAAAAGAGATTACTGACAGAACATTATCAAGGCATATCTGACCTCTTTTTGGATTTTTTGCTGATATAACAAATTCACTATGACTTCTATTTATCTGTCAGGCCATAACAATTGTTCAGTGGTGTTCCTTGATTAAGGACATCGTGGGTAAGCCTTAAGTTTCTTTTCAACCTTCCTTTTTTTCCTACTAGCTAGCTCTGCTGGTAATATTCAGTTTCTTTGAAGATGTTCTGTTTTGCAAATTACTTTGTAGTTACACCATTTGTCTAGTCCTGCCATGCACATGTGCTCACATTATTTTTTCCTCACAAAAGCTACTCTTTCTATTCTCAAAATTGCTTTGATGCTCTTTACAAAAATTTCCTCCAAACTTTATACATAGCTCTGCCATTGATTCACACATAAGTCACTGTATTCCAGGAACAGCAGCATTAAAGCATATCAAAAGCACCTCATTTTTAGCCTGGGATTAGATAGTTCTGTGTAATAGATGGCATTTCTTCACCTTTACTCCCCATATGCCAAACAAACAAATCTTCCAAACTGGTGGCAATACTTTCACTGTCTTTACCTAGGACACAGTCATAAAGAAGCTAGCAGAATTTACTTCTCTCATAAAATGACATTGCTGTCTTTGTACTTTTTGTGTCTCTGTAGTCCTTATTAGTGACCCTCTAACAAATACATTTTTTGGGGTTTAACTGTATTAAATATTCAGGCAGTATCGATTTATTTTCTGCTTCAACACCTGTCTTGCTGGTTGATTTGTTTTAGATTTGCTGGCTCAATCTGCAGCAGTTCAGGTCATCACTTTCACAACAGAAATAATCACTACCTCAAGCTGAGGTTTACACCTATAAGAGAAGACTCAGGACTAGAAGCCTTCTCAGATTTATACCAGGGTCCTCAAGCTGAAATGCAGCACTACAAGTTATTTGGCTAGCAAATGTCCCCCGATACCACAGCTCCATTTTCCAAAAGAAATTAGCCTTGTTACAGTCCTACAGTGTTTTATTTAACACTCTACATCTCACCTCAGCCACCCGACTTTTAACTCTCTTCTTCTACACAACTCCCCTAAGGAGATGCAGTAATTGGTGATTAGCATTCCAAAGCCATGCTTGCATCCTGTGAGCCTGTCATATTTAATTACATTTTAACTATATTCGTCTTCTATAATAGCCTGAACATAATTTAGATAATTATCTTTTGCTCCCTTATTCTCTGACTCTGCCTGCCTCACTTAGAGCTTCTTGCAATAAAATCACTTTCTCTGTTCAAACATATAAACAGACTCTTGGGCCAAGTGCTTTCATCTCTCCAACAGCAACAGCTGAAAACCCAATGGCTTTGTGCATCTCACAATCTCTTCACCATACTCTACTCAGAGGAAGAAAAAAAAAAAGTATTTGAAGCTGCTCTACTTTCATGTTTCCCCTTGTCTTTTTTCTTTATTAGGCTATTGCAAGAAAAATGCAAGAAATACTGATGTCCAATAGCTTGCTATTGCTTAAACTATCTATAGCTCCAAAATAGCAATTCACCTCCTAAAGAATATAATGGTTTTTCTCAGCATTTGGAATCTTTGCCTAGTTATTTCTAAGAAAAGCTGCTATCTTCCTAAAGATTTATTCCATATAATAGGACCTAAATAGTGACTCTTTCCCATTATTTCCTTCTCTTCTGGAAAGAACAAATTGAGAAAGAAGTGGAAGCTTATCTTTTACTGAGGTTTTCTAATGAGCCACAGGCACTAGAATACTACCACACTGTGGGCTAGCAGAGCACCACGAGTCAGAGCTGAAACCAAGCTCAGGACAAAGATGTCAGACAAAAGAGAAAGCTGTTACATATGACTAACATTCAAATGCTGTTATAACCATATCATATTCATATCAAGGCTTGCCTTAGGCTAAGCATGTATGTTTTCAGTGTGCACATCGTGTCTCCCCACTTTCCAAGGTGACATACAACCTCCATTTTCTGTTTCTCACTCCAAAAAGACTAGCAATGCAGATTGGGAAGCAAATGTATCCTCCACTTTACTTTCTAATACTTGTCCACATAAGCCTTGTTCTACAGTAATCAATGAAATACTTTTAACCTTATTTGAATGCAAACTTCTTCAACTGTGACTACACTTTTTAAAAATGAAATTTGTAAGAGCAAA